CATTATCCACTATAACCTCCATTGACCTGTGTGTTAGCTCATGGCAGCACCTTGTTAGCCTTGTTCACCAATGTCTCCCCAGAGCCTTGACAGAGCCTAGACATGGTTCAAGGCATTTGGGAGGCATGCAACAGTGCTTACAGGTCTATTTGAGCCTGCAATTCAGGTGGGAAGCAAGAACAGGAGGATCATTACAAGTCCCAGGCAGCCCTGCCTACAGAGTAAGAAGCACCAGGCAGCCTACGCAGTAAATTCCAGGCCAACATCTATGCAGTAAGTCCAAGGCCAGCCTTGTCTACACAGTAAATCCCAAACCAGTCCTGTCTACACAGTAAGTCAAATCCAAGGCCAGCCTTGTTTACAGAGGAAGTTCCAGGTCAGCCAGGGTAATGATAATGTAAGATTCTTTCTCTAAACAAAAGAAGAGTAAGTGGGTTTGAGAACGAGACCTTTTGGAATGTGAATCTCTGCTTTACAGTTTACAGCCCTATAGCAGAGAGAGAGAGACTGGCTGTCTGACTTCATGAAAGATGACTTTCCAGGTAGCACCCAGGAATGTGAAAGAAAAGGGGATCTGAAGGTGGGTCTCGGTTCCTCTTAGTCTCTGAAAAGTTTGGATTTGGATTATGACCCTTGGTAGCAAGGCTATAGATAACTTTTCAACAGAAAGAGTGATGGTTAGAATTGCATTAAAGGAGAAGGGCATGGGGGTGACAGTCCAGGCCTGGGCAGATGATGGCTTCTGGTCCAGAGCTAGCCCTGTCATGGGAGCCTTGGCAGCTTCTGGCTTGTGCATTGTGAGGAGACAGCTGATGTGGCAACAGGAAGGCAATGGTCCATAGCTGTAATGCTGTCTGTAATTCTACTGAGCACCTACAGAATGGTTCCATGGTACAGAAGAGCAGGGCCCCTCTGGTACCATGAGGACTACTGTCCCTGCCAGGGATTGTATGCCACCACTGAAGATGAACAGTGAGGGCAGGGCCAGGAACCTAGCAACTGCCTGGAGCAAAGCCAAATGAATGACCTTTGGCTGTGGCTCATTCCTTCCCTTTGGCCCAAGTTGCAGTCAGACCCGGATGTTCATCACAGCCTTCACCTGACATGAGACAATTGACTGGTTGAGAAGCCACACTGCTGTGAAGCAGTCAGGCTCAACCTGATCTGATACATGTAGACATGAACTTGCTCATTTTGACCCATAGATGAATATGTTTGAGTTAGGAGATATGGCAGCAGGCCCAGGCCACTGCCCCGATCAAGTCGCTATAAAGGGAGGAGTGTTGCCTTTGTGCCAGACCAGGGGCCCTCTGGGCAGAACATACCTAAAACAGGTCCAACACAGATCAACCTGCTGGCCACAGAACTGCCATCCCTAAGCATTAGCAAGCCCTTAATAACAGCAGAGACCTGCAGGAGCTGGGAGCCCAGCAGCCCTTGAAAGTCACTGCCAGCAGCCAGAGGTGGAGGAGTCAATCATTGTGCTCTGGGAAGCTAGTAACCTAGTTATTCTGGGCAGTGGTGGCGCACTTGGGAGGAAGAGGCAGGTGGATCCCTGTGAGTTCGAGGCCAGCTTGGTCTACAGAGTTAGTTCTAGGACAGCCAAGGCTACACAAAGAAACCTTGTCTCGAAAAACAAAAAGCAATAAAAATAAAAATAGCAAGTTACTTCTGTGGTTAAAAAGCAAAACATGGCACCACTGTTCTCAGACTCCATACTTAGAGGGCACATCTCCTCAGGCATGTCAGAAGGGAGTCCAGTCCAGGATTCTGTAGCCTGTCAGTCCCCAAAGGACTTGGATTAGGGAGCAGTGGTCTGCACAGATCCATCAGCCTCCCTACAGCCAACTTCCACCTCAAATGCCCAGATGACTTTCCTATTTTTGCCACTACCTCCTCTTTTCCTCCCCTCCTGTTTAGGTCAAAGTCCCCTTCCCCACTGCTTGTCACTCAGGTTTTCATCTTGTGACACCCTTGCCACACTAATTAAACTGCTTCTGCCCCTGCCTCAGCCCTCCCCCCCACTCCCAGTTCCCAGCTTTCCCTGCCCAGCCCTTGGCCTTCCCAAAGGGCTATGTCCCTTCTCAGACTTAAAAAGTACTCAGTTAGCAGCAGCAACAAGAGGACTGGGGTCAGGGAGGGCAGAGGGGAGGCTGTGGAATGCCTCAGGGAGCATGCCCTAGAGAGAGCCAGGCAGCAAGGCAGGCAAAAGGCCAACCAGCTTTACCAAAGGATGGCTGGAGGGGTTTTTTTTGTTTTGTTTTCTTCAGCCACCCTTCACCGTAGGATGGCTAGTGATTTGTTTTATTCTGAGTGTTTTTGGTTTTGGTTTTGGTCTTGTTTTGAGACAGGATCTGACTCTATAGCTCTGGATGGCCTTGCTATGTTGACCAGGCTGGCCTCCAGCTCACAGAGATCAGCCTGCCTCTGCCTCTCAAGTGCTGAGATTAAAGGGGAGCACTTCTGTGGCCCACCTAGGTGGCTGTTTTAAGGTACTGACCCCTCTGTCTTGGTTTCCTCACTAGTGAGATGAGATAGTAGTGTACAACTCGTGGGGTGACAATTCAGTCTGGTGTTTTATGTAACTAACTAATTATACCGGTGATTAGCTCAAGAGGTTAAAGTATTACAGAAGGGTTTGTAGTCAAAGAGTAGGGAACCCTGGAAGGCTGTGAGGCACAGGAAAGGCATGATCATTTTCATGGGAGGTGTAGACATGGAGAAGGAGAGAGAAGAAAATGCACAATGCAGACTTGAGAGGTGGAATTGGCAGGGTGCTGTGGCTACTAGACATAGGTCTGAGGTCAAGGATGACTCAATACCTGTTAACCATCTGGCTAGCCTTTGAAAGGGGAGCAGGCTTTCATGTTTAAGCAGCCCCTGCCCCCAGCCACTCCATAGCAAATCATAACTTGTTCAAGGGAACACTTGGCCTCAAGATGAGAAGTAGAACACAAAAGCCACACTCAGTAGATATTTGTGGAAAGAATGGCCTTGTCTTCTAGTGTTCTAAAGGGATGTTTTCCTGAACATCTCCTCTGGGTATAAACCAGTGGCAAAGCAAGTACCCTTTTATCTCAGCCTCCTGTCTTATGTTTGGGCCACACAAGCATCTGTCTGTCTGCAGGAACCATGGGTGGAACTGAAGGCTGCCAGCCCAGCCCAGCAGGGGCATTGCTGCAGGTTGGAAGAGGCAGAGCCCCACTCAGTCACGTGGAGATCACCCTCATTCTCTCCTCGTCCTGCTGAGAGTATGCCGGGGCCTGTTCTGGATACCATGGGGCAAGAACTGTACCTTTTTGTCCACCAGGCGTCTCAGTGCCTGGAGTGGGCCCGGCTTACAAATAACTATGCAATGGTAAGCCATCAGCACCACCCAACAATAAAGACTGTCTTCCTTGTGAGACAAGCGACACCACCAGCCAAACTGGCTGATCAGCAGGTGTGTGAGTACACCACACCTACAGGCAGTGTCTGTAAGCCAGAGGAGACAGCATGACTGCTAAGGAGGTGGGGAATTCGAGCAGACATCAAGGATTCTCACCCTCTGAATATTGAACATTAGCCTGTCCCACAGCTTACACATGGTAAAAATACATCTGCTATGCCAGCCCAGGCATGACAGGAGGTGGAACAGTGTGAGTGTCGTGCATGAATAATAGACATGATAGTGTGTGTGCATGGAGGGTTGGTGACGGTCCTCACATTGTCTGAATTCTTCATTCACCCATTGATGCTCTTTGAGATGGTGTCCCATTATGTAGCCTAGGTTGGCTTTGGACTGGCTGTGTAGCACCAGGCTGGCCTTGAACACTCACTCTCCTTGCCTCTGCATGCCACCATGCTCACCTACCTATTACAGGCCTTGAGAACTTTGTAGCTGCTTCCTGGCTCAGAGATCCTCCCCTAAGGATCACCCTAGCATGAAAATACCATGAGGCATAGAAGTGGTTGCACAACATTATGACTGTACCAACTGATTACACAATTGAAGGTGTTGTTTTATGTGATATGACTTTTGTGTCAATTTAAAAGAAAGAATTGGGCTAGGAAGGTAACTGTGGTAGAGCAGTTGCCTGCCATGCATGGTACCAGTAGGAAAGAATAATCCCCAGCCAGCACTCACTGCACAGCCATTCTGAGAAAGTGCCATAGGAGCATTGGCTGCCTTGGAAACTGTTCTTTCATTGGCCCAATCTATGGAGAGAAAGTGCCTCAAGGTGGCATGGAAAGCCAGGTCCCATAAGGAATGCTGGGAGAGAGTAGAAGAAACTGTTACACAGCTTACATGTGGTAAAAACATAGACATTTGCTATGTTAGCCCAGGCATGACAGGAAGTGGAACAGAGTATGAGTATCATGTGTGGGGGCCTAGAAGAAATGAGATCTGGGGCAGGGACTGAGATTGTTGCTTCCCAATGAATAATTCTTTGGAACTTTTTATGGTTTTTTTTAAAGGATTTATTTATTTATTATGTATACAGTGTTCTTGTCTGCATGTGTCCCTGCAGGCAGAAGAAGGCACCAGATCTCATTACAGATGGTTGTGAGCGATCATGTGGTTGCTGGGAATTGAACTCAGGACCTCTGGAAGAGCAGCCAGTGCTCTTAACCTCTGAGCCATCTCTCCAGCCCAGAACTTTTTATGTTTTAAACCACATGACTACTTCCAGCTCAAAGTATAATATGAAGTGAAGAGGAGCATATTACCTACACAAATAAGGTCTCTGCTTGCCCTTTTACAAACAAGCCCTCTGGAGGCCAGGCCTGCCTCAGTTCTTGGCCCCCGTTATCCACTTGTGACTCTGAGCCACAGTTTCCTTGTCCATGAGCAAGCAAGGCCTCCCGTGGCTGGTACAATCCAGTGGCAAGTGAGACAGCATGTCTCTGGGTACGCAGAAAGCATTCATGATCTTCTGCCTTGTCTGTTCCCTTCTCCACTCTTTGAGTCTGCCCCTTTAGGACTCCCCAAACCTTTGTGACTCATGGTTTCTTCACAGAGAAAGCTACAGATGGCTCCTTACAGAGTGAGGACTGGGCCCTCAACATGGAGATCTGTGACATCATCAACGAGACTGAGGAAGGGTAAGGTCCTTTCGGAGGAGTGTGGGAGGTGGTACAGGCTATGACAGCCAACCATAACAGTACATAGTAGCACTGATTCATACCTGTGTCTCACCAGATGATTCTCCCTAGCTCCCCACTGTGCAGTATCCTGACCCTAGACAACAGCATGGCATTGTAAACATCTTTGAGCCATGATCTAGTCCAGTACCTTTATCAGGTGGATGAAAAGCTCAGAAATGTTCAAAGATTTGGCTCACACTGTGAGCCAAGTGGTGGTAACCCTCAATTTTAATCCCAGCACTCAGAAAGCAGAGCCAGGTAGTTCACTGAGTTCAAGGCCAGTCTTACAGAATGAGTTCCAGGACAGCCAGAAACCCTGTCTCACAAAGCCAAAAAACTAAAGACACAGTGTGTGGTCAGCTGGCCCCTTGGTGCATCACCTCCCTGGGACAAAGCCAGCTGGAGATTCACAGTTCCTTTCTGCATGGTGAGAACTGGAGTCCTGGGACAGCCAGATTTTCTCTTCCCTGAGATTAGAAACCAGCAGGGCTGCCAGCAAGTGCACTGATGGCAGTTAGTGAAGCAGAGCAGAGCTGCAGAGCAGAGTGGGTACCTACGGGCAGCTAGCTATGGGACCATGATGTTTGCTCAGAATGCTGAGCCCAGCCAAAGCACATAATGTGGGAGAGGTGTTGGAATCCTGTCTTCCTCTGCCTAATGCATGTAGGCCAACTGTGTGATGAGACCATGAAAGAGTTACATTACCTCTCCAGGACTTCCCCTCAAAGGCAGAGCTCTGTTAAATCCTGCCAAAACTGTAGTCTAAGTCCTTGAGTAGACCAGAAAGTAGGGTGAGGTGGAGTGTGGGTAGCCATGGCAGGCAGGGAGTACAGCCGGATGAGGCCTCTGCTCTGGTAAATGAGAACATCCTCCCAGTCAAGTGCAGATTGACACACGGGGTCAGGAGGCAGGGGGTGCAGTGGGAACTGCAGAGAAACCTCGGTTGTGCCGTGTGGCTCATTCCCACATCTGCATCTAGACTTGTAGTAAGGGTGGGTGCAAATGGGTAGATGTGAAGACCACCGGGGAAGAAAACAGAAGGCAGGCATGTTTACTGAGCCTCGGGAAAGGCCTGGAAGCTTTGTGGTGGTGTGCTGAAAGTCATTGCAGTATCTTTGTAGACAATGTTCCCATCTCCATGGTGAACTGGGGAAGCATTGTATTCAGAGTTCATTGACTGTGCCAATGTTTATTTGAGCACTTTAAATATTCCAGTCACTGCACAGGGCATCCAGGAGCCAGCAGTAGGCAATGACAGGCATGATTCTTGGTCTCACCAATCTTAACTAAACTTTTGTGTCTTTGGTGGAATCATGCCATTGCCATACATTTTTTTCCATCATTGTGGATACATGGTCCACTGCCAGTGCTGTCCCTTTTCTCCAGGAGGGGGCCTAGAAGAAATGAGATCTGGGGCAGGGACTGAGATTGTTGCTTCCCAATGAATAATTCTTTGGAACTTTTTATGGTTTTTTTTAAAGGATTTATTTATTTATTATGTATACAGTGTTCTTGTCTGCATGTGTCCCTGCAGGCAGAAGAAGGCACCAGATCTCATTACAGATGGTTGTGAGCGATCATGTGGTTGCTGGGAATTGAACTCAGGACCTCTGGAAGAGCAGCCAGTGCTCTTAACCTCTGAGCCATCTCTCCAGCCCAGAACTTTTTATGTTTTAAACCACATGACTACTTCCAGCTCAAAGTATAATATGAAGTGAAGAGGAGCATATTACCTACACAAATAAGGTCTCTGCTTGCCCTTTTACAAACAAGCCCTCTGGAGGCCAGGCCTGCCTCAGTTCTTGGCCCCCGTTATCCACTTGTGACTCTGAGCCACAGTTTCCTTGTCCATGAGCAAGCAAGGCCTCCCGTGGCTGGTACAATCCAGTGGCAAGTGAGACAGCATGTCTCTGGGTACGCAGAAAGCATTCATGATCTTCTGCCTTGTCTGTTCCCTTCTCCACTCTTTGAGTCTGCCCCTTTAGGACTCCCCAAACCTTTGTGACTCATGGTTTCTTCACAGAGAAAGCTACAGATGGCTCCTTACAGAGTGAGGACTGGGCCCTCAACATGGAGATCTGTGACATCATCAACGAGACTGAGGAAGGGTAAGGTCCTTTCGGAGGAGTGTGGGAGGTGGTACAGGCTATGACAGCCAACCATAACAGTACATAGTAGCACTGATTCATACCTGTGTCTCACCAGATGATTCTCCCTAGCTCCCCACTGTGCAGTATCCTGACCCTAGACAACAGCATGGCATTGTAAACATCTTTGAGCCATGATCTAGTCCAGTACCTTTATCAGGTGGATGAAAAGCTCAGAAATGTTCAAAGATTTGGCTCACACTGTGAGCCAAGTGGTGGTAACCCTCAATTTTAATCCCAGCACTCAGAAAGCAGAGCCAGGTAGTTCACTGAGTTCAAGGCCAGTCTTACAGAATGAGTTCCAGGACAGCCAGAAACCCTGTCTCACAAAGCCAAAAAACTAAAGACACAGTGTGTGGTCAGCTGGCCCCTTGGTGCATCACCTCCCTGGGACAAAGCCAGCTGGAGATTCACAGTTCCTTTCTGCATGGTGAGAACTGGAGTCCTGGGACAGCCAGATTTTCTCTTCCCTGAGATTAGAAACCAGCAGGGCTGCCAGCAAGTGCACTGATGGCAGTTAGTGAAGCAGAGCAGAGCTGCAGAGCAGAGTGGGTACCTACGGGCAGCTAGCTATGGGACCATGATGTTTGCTCAGAATGCTGAGCCCAGCCAAAGCACATAATGTGGGAGAGGTGTTGGAATCCTGTCTTCCTCTGCCTAATGCATGTAGGCCAACTGTGTGATGAGACCATGAAAGAGTTACATTACCTCTCCAGGACTTCCCCTCAAAGGCAGAGCTCTGTTAAATCCTGCCAAAACTGTAGTCTAAGTCCTTGAGTAGACCAGAAAGTAGGGTGAGGTGGAGTGTGGGTAGCCATGGCAGGCAGGGAGTACAGCCGGATGAGGCCTCTGCTCTGGTAAATGAGAACATCCTCCCAGTCAAGTGCAGATTGACACACGGGGTCAGGAGGCAGGGGGTGCAGTGGGAACTGCAGAGAAACCTCGGTTGTGCCGTGTGGCTCATTCCCACATCTGCATCTAGACTTGTAGTAAGGGTGGGTGCAAATGGGTAGATGTGAAGACCACCGGGGAAGAAAACAGAAGGCAGGCATGTTTACTGAGCCTCGGGAAAGGCCTGGAAGCTTTGTGGTGGTGTGCTGAAAGTCATTGCAGTATCTTTGTAGACAATGTTCCCATCTCCATGGTGAACTGGGGAAGCATTGTATTCAGAGTTCATTGACTGTGCCAATGTTTATTTGAGCACTTTAAATATTCCAGTCACTGCACAGGGCATCCAGGAGCCAGCAGTAGGCAATGACAGGCATGATTCTTGGTCTCACCAATCTTAACTAAACTTTTGTGTCTTTGGTGGAATCATGCCATTGCCATACATTTTTTTCCATCATTGTGGATACATGGTCCACTGCCAGTGCTGTCCCTTTTCTCCAGGATAGGCCATAAGTAAGAATAAGTACTTTTCAAGCACTAAAGTGGTCCACAGGTTAGCAACTGTGTCAGTCAGCTTTTTATAACTGAGATGATGTGCTTATAAAGAGAAATTTTTTATCTCAATTTTGGTTTGCTTTGGTTTTTGTTTGTTTGTTTTTGAGACAGGGTCTCACTGGCTTCAAATTCACTGTGGAGCTGAAGTTTTTATTTTACCCCACAGTCTTGATGTTGCTCATCATGAGGAGTATGTGATGCGCTACAACCACACACCTTATGGCCAGGGAACAAAACAAGAGTTACAGAGACCAGGGTTCCATGATGCCATTTATTTATTTATTTATTTATTTATTTATTTTTGTTTTTTCAAGACAGGGTTTCTCTGTGGCTTTGGAGGCTGTCCTGGAACTAGCTCTTGTAGACCAGGCTGGTCTCAAACTCACAGCCCTCTGCCTCCCGAGGGCTGGGATTAAAGGCATGCACCACCGCCTGGCTCATGGTGACCTTTAAAGTCACATCTGTGATGACAAAAAGATCACCCAGCAGGTTCTAGCACTGCCCTGCCCCCACCTCCATCTATCTGTCTATCTATCACACTTACACTTGGGATGGAACCCAGGGCCTTGCACATGCTAGACAAGCACTGCCACTGAGCTATTCCCCCAGCCTAGTCCCATCCTCAAAGTGTCTGTAGTGTCTGAACAGTGTCATTGTGAGCATGAAAGCATTTTTAAACATATGAGCCATTGGGAGACACTTGGGATCCAAACAGTATAGCAGTGCTGGCATCAAGGACTGAATGAAGCAGCTGCCCCTCAAACTGGCCAGGGAAAAGCAGAGAGCTGTCCGAGGTTCTGTGTACAGGTTCTCACTCTTCTGGACAGACTCCTGGACCTGCTCTGGCCTCTCTCCATTGTAGCACTGACCACAGCACAGCTTTGCCTCCATGTGGGATCCATCCTGGAGGCCTCTGCCTTCACTTCTGCTGAGGACCTTACCGGGATTCCATACTACCCCGATGTGGCCCTTAAAGGTCAGCACTGACAGACAGGCAGAGTCAGAATAACCTTCAAAGCCCCTCTGTCTGGGCACCTGCAGTGGGCCAGCTCTGCTGAAAGACAGTGTTTAAAGGACACTGCCCACCTGCTCTCTAGGAGTTGTCTTCTCTGCCTGGATAGGTTAGTGTTCCATTACAGGTCACACTGGAGGGGAAAGTTCCTTGGAAGCTTCATGGATCACTAGGCCTTCCCTTGGGTTTGAGGTTCAGGCAGGCTCCAACAAAGACCTTCAGAGCAGAGCAGCTCTGGCAATGCTAGGGGAGGAGTAGTCAGCAGGCGGAACATGGAGGACAGCAACACACACCCCCAGTCTCCTGACCCTCCAACTCCGCTATACTGTGTTGTCTCTTCTCTGTCCTTCCAAAGCAGTTTCTCCCCAACAAGCCCTGGCTCAAGCTCTCCGTGTACTTGAACCCACTCTCTCTGGCTGTCCTCCCACTTGTCCTCCCCATCCTTTAGTGTTGGCTACTTCCTGGAGGGGCCTTTTGGACCCACCCCATTCTCCCTCAAGACTGCTTCTTCCTTCAATTGTCTCAGAGTCCTTGGAAGAAGTGTATGTACATGCACGTACACATACACATACATGAACACACAGGTGCTTGGTTAGACTTGACCGGAAGATGGATAGTGAACTGTCTAAGATGTGGTGTTAGAACATTCTACCTGTGGTCATTTGTTCTTTGCGTCAACACCCAGAAGGCCCTGGGAGCTGTGGGGTTCATGAGAAATAGCAAGTTCTGGGCCCTCCCCACTTGTTGGATTCTAATACTCTCAGCTAGGCACTCACACCTTGCCCGACATGAGTCTATAATGGTAGGTCCAGGGTCTTCCTGGTGTTCGGACTATCAGGGTTTCCTGAGAAGGTCATGGTGGGTCAGCAGTATCCTGGTGTAACCAGAACCTGGGTACACAGTCAGGCACAGGGAGGAGGGCAGATTCCTCCTCCCTGGTTTGTAGGTTTGCAGAGTCTCCTGAGCTTGGTCCTTAGCCTCTTGTGCTGGGGAAAAGGGTTCCATGCCTAAGCCCATCATTCTTTTTGTCCTTTTTGCCAGTCCCAAAGATGCCTTCCGAGCAGTAAAGAAGCGAATCGTGGGGAATAGGAATTTCCATGAGGTCATGCTGGCCCTCACGGTGAGTCTGGACCATGGTCTGCTGAAAGCTGTTTCTCCTTAGTTAGATCCAGTGGACCTCCCATCCATGCTAAGGTTTCTCATCTGAGGACTAGGAAGGAATCACCATGGGGGAACTGTTTTCCCATCCGAACTGCTGGTGGAGGTGGATGACAAAGCAAGGGAGCTGGAAAGGAATTCCTAGCCTTAGCATTGGGAGTAGACATACTGGGGTCATGTCCTGCTAAAACTGCTCCCTGAAAAATGAACATAAAACAAACATCAGTATCTAAGAACAAGATTGGCCACAGCACTGAGCCAGGCCACATGGGCCAAGCATCAAGCATCCATCTTGTGTTCAGGACAGCCTGGCTGGAGAGTGGGTAGGAGAACACCCTGTTCCAGCCTCAACCATGGTGGTGCTTAGATCCAGATGGTCCTGCTACCCTGCAAAACCATGCTTCTGCTAGGTCATAGGGAGAGAAGGTCAGTGCTTGGTCCTTGAGTCATGTGTTACCTACCAATAGGGAAAGCTGAAGTTGTCGCTGACTCTTCCTAGAGGACCTCTGAAACACTAAACCAGTCTTTCTCAACCTGTGGGTCACAACCCCTTTGGGGGCCTAATGACCTTTTCATGGGGGTCACATTTCAGATATCCTGTGTATCCGATATTTACGTTACAATTCATAAAACAGCAAAATTATAGTTATGAAGTAGCAACAAAAAATAATTGTATGGTTGGGGGCTCACCACAACATTAAAGGGTTATAGCATTATAGCATTAGGAAGTTGAGAACCACTACTCTAGACCATGTGAGCTAGAAAGTAGGGTTATGTTACAGCAGGCCCTAGTCTAGTAGGAAGGGAGTACTGTCTGTCTCATCATTCTGCATGTCCCAGTCCCCTAAGAGGCAAGCCCCCCAAATCTAGCACTGTTCCCCTCCCCATGTCCTAGGAGATCCCTTCTGGAACCCCCTCTCCTTGTTCAGCTTCCCTCTGGGCTAGAAGAGGGGCCTCACAGAGTGCCAGCCCATATCCCCTCCTCTGATAGGGCACTCTCTTGGGCACCTTGACCTCCAGGTCTTAGAAACATGTGTTAAGAACTGTGGGCACCGCTTCCATGTACTGGTGGCCAGCCAGGACTTTGTAGAGAGTGTGCTGGTGAGGACCATCCTGCCAAAGAACAATCCACCCACTATCGTGCATGACAAGGTGTTGAACCTCATCCAGGTGCGTACTTTGACAGGGTGGGGTGGCTCAGTGGCCTTAAGGGGTTCGGAAGTGCCGGGGCTGTTCCCTGTCTGCTAGTGGCCTGCTTATGTGTGCAGCAGAACTTACCACTGTCTACTGAGCCTGGTGCACAGTGTTAGAGGACTGGGCAGAAGGAAGAAGAAGAGGGGAAGCACTTTTGTCCTCTGTCTAGGTGCCAGGGCAGGGCAGGCTCATAGAAAAGAAGGTGAGCAGTGGTTACCGGCCATGTCCCCTTGTCCCCTCTCAGTCCTGGGCTGACGCGTTCCGCAGCTCGCCTGATTTGACAGGTGTTGTTGCTGTCTATGAGGACCTGCGAAGGAAGGGCCTGGAGTTCCCCATGACTGACCTGGACATGTTGTCACCCATCCACACACCCCAGAGGGTGAGGAGAACTTCAAGTGGGGCAGGAGTTATCCTGAGGGGCCTATAGTGCCTTTCCGGAAGGCCTCACTGCCCTATGTCTTGCCCCCCAGACTGTGTTCAGTTCAGAGACACCATCCGGACAGAACTCTGTGGGCTGTGACACTAGTCAGCGAGGAGACCTGAGCCAGCATGCCACCCCTCTGCCCACTCCAGCTGTCCTCCCGGGCGACTCACCCATCACACCAACTCCTGAACAGGTAAATAGACAAGCCTGTGGCAGAGCCAGGAAGGTATCAGATATGGCCCCTAGCACTGGAAATTCCTTTGTCCACAGACGTATACTATTATCCCTATGTTCAGGGTGAGGCTCAGATAGGAAAGTCTACTCACTCAGAAACACATAGCTCATCACAATCAGCTGGGATTCAGGTTTCAGTCTATCTGACTCCTCGGCTGCTGTCATCTTCCTTCCATGGAGCCCTCTGTGCAGCACCAAGGAGAGGCAATGGCCAGCAGGCAGGCCATCCCTTCCACCTAGGCCACTCCACTTTATTTTTGTGGTAATAGGCTCACATAGAATTTCACCTGAATTGAAATTATAGAGGACAACCTTAAAGGATCTATATGCTTGCTGGGATTGGTGGCACACCTTCCATCCCAGCACTTGGGAAGTAGAGGTATGTAAACAGAGATGGAGTTTTTCTTTTGTCCTGCTTGCCTGGTCCCAAATAGTCACCCAAAGCTTAATATTAATTATGAAATGCTTGACCAAACAACTCAGGCTTATTACTAACTAGTTCTTACATTTAAATTAACCCATTTTTATTATTCTATGTGTTGCCACATGCCTCATGGCTTTAACTGTGCTCTAGCACATCTTGTTCATCTGGCAGCTGGCTCGCATCTCTCCAGACTCTGCCTTTCTTTCTTCCTGTATCTCCATTTGGCTTTCCCGCCTACCCTTATCCTGCCTGGCTATAGGCCAATTCAGCTTTATTATTAACCAATGAAAAGAATACATATTTACACAGTGTACAGAAGGATTATCCCACAGCAGAGGTAGGTGGATCTGTGTGAGTTCAGGGCTTCATAGTAAAACCCTGTCTCAAAAAAGGGTAGGGGGAGAGAGAGAGAGGGGCGAGAG